ACACCCACACACACACACACACACACACACCACACACACACACACACACACACACACACACACACACACACACACACACACACACACGGAAAAGGTGAACAGCTTCATGGCCCTGCCTCTTTCATCATAGATGTTGAAGGTGGTGACGTTACAAAAGCTTTTCTGCGAGTGTGTCTTCTCATGTGTTGACCAAGTCCGGAATGACAACTAAAACTTGCATTGCATACTGAGCAGTGGTATGGTTTCTCCCCGGTGTGCGTTCGTGCATGTATATTCAAAGTTCCTTTAATTGAAAATCTTTTCCCGCACACTGAGCAGCTAAATGGTTTCTCTCCCGTGTGGATCCTTGTGTGTCGGACAAGAGAGTCCTTCAGGTTAAAACATTTGCCACAAATCATGCATGTGAAGGGTTTCTCTCCTGTGTGGACCCTCATGTGTCTGTTTAAATTTGACTTGTCATAAAATAGTTTGTCACACTGGGAACATTTCACATGTTTGTTGTCATTGTGACATACCAGATCACCTTTGGAATGTTCATCATCAGTGTAAGGAGAGTGTGACATCATGTCATCACAATCTGAAAGTGGCGCAAGGAGGCTTTCTACTTGTGATCCTTTGCCGTGGTCTCCATCACCTTTTGTAGACATGACTTGACTTGAACTGCTGCTCAGGTTCTCATCCTGTTTGTTCAGCTCACTTTGCCCTTTATCTTCATTATTTTCACTCTTCACAGTGATTTGAATCACTGCCGACTTAGTGATATCAGCCTCCTCCTCTTCTTCTTTAATGTGTAGGGGCTCTAGTTCCTTGATCACGTCAACGCCTTCTCCTGTTCCTGTATCTGCAAACGGCATCAAAGTGAATCAGAAAAAAAATGCATCACGAGTGACATATAAGAGATGATATTGAACAGAATTGTTTTTAGTTTGCTCTTTAAGGTTAGGTGGATGCTGATATACACTAATACGGACACAGCTCTGCCTTGACTCGAAAAAAAATGTGAGTACGTGATTTCTCCTTGAAAAATGTTTAGAAATGCCCATGTTAATAATTTAAACAGTAAATATACTGTCAACTATCATCCCCAAATTATACATTCAAATAATGAATTTGATGCCATTTATTCTCTTTGTTCTCATTCACATCCTCTTCCAACTGTAATTTTTTCAAATATTTCAGTCCAAGGTGGGTTTGAACTAATCGCCTGGCATGCGGCAGGCCTTGCGTTCTTGAAAAACAACAGCGCAAGGAACAAAGATAACACTAATACAATAATTTATCTTCATCCCTTGTATTACTGTTTAACTTCATTCCTTGTGTTGTTCATTGGACAGAACTTTGCATTTTATAATATTAATTAAATGTTTGGATGATTCATACTTTATTCATTGTAAAATATTGTAATTTTATTTTTACTCCACCCTCTGGCTCAATTGTTTTAAAATCATGACGTTTAGTTGTTAGTCAAATTTTGTACATGGAAAATAATTGTTAAATTGAATTGCTTTTTAAATTTTAAAATAAATTAACTTTTTTTGCCACAAGCCACAGAACAAAAATATAGAAATCTGGTACCATTGAGTACTGGTATCAATTCTCAGGCACCAAGAATTGGAACCGAACCAATTCAAATGTGAAAGGTACCCATCCCTAAAATCAGGTTGGCTTAAAGTGTTGTCAACTGTCGCCATGTTGTTCAAAGTATGTCCACTCGCTAACAGAATTTATTCAGAAGTTTCAACATACTCACACAGGAAAAAAAGCATGAAAATAACTTCCCTTGGGTCACCTATTTTTTAAATCCATCCATTCCAACACTTGTTGCCTAAATATAAGCCATACTAAACTATGATGATTTTACACCCAGGAATAGTGCCCAGCCACATATAGACAAACAAGCAGTCAAACATATATTCACATTTATGGCAATATTGATCTTCAATCAAGCTAATATCCATATTTTTGGAATGCGGCAGGAAGCCAGAGTACCCACAGAAAATCGTTGCAACTTTAAGGGAAAGAAAGGAGAACAACACAGGAAGGAAGAGATTTTAGCAAGGAACATTTCAACTGAAAGACCCACATGCCACTAGTACACCTGTTTTTGCTTTCAACCAGTGGCACCTTTAAATTTTATCAGCATCTACGAGTGGAACCACTTGGTGTTCCGGCCTTGTGTTTCCCAACTTTTAATGGGCCAAGGCGCATATTTCACATGAGAAAGATCTCAGTTCACCCCACCTGTCGTTTTTTTCTGTCGTATGGCTTCTCTGCGTCAATGAAAAAGTGCTTACCCTGATTTAGCTCTACGTTTTTAAATAAAGGTTGAGGAATTGAATTCTCACCATACATAAACATACCTTCCCGTTATGGCGAACAGTTTATTAGGCATGCGCAGTATCGCTTAGCTTCATTCTACCGAAGGCCCGAGGTGAGGCCTTCAGAGCATTAATATAAAGGTGGCTGTAATCAAAACAAAGGCACCGACCTTCTCTGTGCAATTCATCTTGAGTCTTCTTGAAAACGGTTTCCAGTAGTTGACGTTGTCGCTCGTTCTCCTCCTTTGTCCGAGAAAGTTCCTCCTCGTACTCTGCTATCGTTCTTTCAAACACTCCAAATATTTCTTCCACGGCCGCACTGAGTCGCTGACTCAGCAACGCTCTCAGCATTTCAACTTTACACATTTTCACAGAAACACACTTTATGTCTTCTGCGCAAAGTATGTCCCTTCCTTCCGCGTCTTCTTTGTTCGCAACTCGTTGCTAGCATGCTAAGCTAGCTCGAGATGCACGAATCCGACTCTAATTTTTAGGCACTAAGTATGAACGACGTTAACGTAGAAATGATATGGGAAGAGAATGATGCGAGAAAGAGAAGAATGTGCACATAAACTTGGGAATAGAGTCTCATTCGCTTCGCTTTCCTTTTTGCTCCGCCTATAGGCATAGTCATGACGTCATTGTTGCTTTCTCACAATACAAAGGTGGAGGGTTCGATTCCGGTCTCTGGCCTTCCTGTGTGGAGGTTTCATGTCCTCTCCTTGTCTGCATACTCCGGTTTCCTCCCACATTCCAAAATCATGCATGGCACGTTAATTGAAAACTCAGAATCGTCCCGAAGTGCGATGTGAGTGTGGATGGTAGTTTGTCTGTGTACCCTGCAATTAGCTGGCAACCAGTTGTTCAGGGTGGTCACAACTTTAATGATCATAGCAACAGGTACATGAATAGCAGAGCTCAATCAAGAATGTTCATGAACAAGAAATCAACATTTATTAAATACTTTGTCATGAATTCAACCGGGTCCCACATTTCAGACCTATGCCTTCAGTGGGGAATAAAGTAACCTCATCCCCTTCTTAACACCACCAGACTGTGGGCAGATCATAATGATTGCACACTACTGGAAGCTGGGCAGTCAAAGACACTCACTAGAGAATGGAGAAAATATACTGTTGTCAAGAAATGAACATATTTTCACCAAAGTTGTAAATGTAGGTCAGTGCCACTGATGGTATTGAGGCCATCAGAGAGAGCCTACCTGGTCCTGACTTCCCACCATTATAATTTATTCATGGTCACGTATCCGTTCGATCACACCCTCTCAAACTTCAACACAGTTTATCTAAGTTCTGCAGATTCATTTACTGCTGTATTTGTCAACAACACACTTGTGTTTCTTAACCTGATACTTTTGAGGGAATCTTTTATCACACACGCTGCAAGTGAATGGTTTCTCACCAGTGTGCATTCTTATGTGTCTTGTCAAAGCGCGTCTCTGAGAGAAACATTTACTACAAACCGAGCAGGAAAATGGTTTTTCTCCAGTGTGTTCTCTCATGTGTTTAGCCAAACTTGAACGTTCACTGAAACTTAAGGTGCAGACTGAGCAGCCAAAGGATTTCTCTCCCGTGTGTATTCTTGTGTGTCTGTTCAAATGTGCTTTGCGAGGAAACGCTTTCCCGCAAAAAGGGCAGGCAAAAGGTTTCTCCTCGGTGTGTGTTTTCATGTGATTTGTTAAATTAATCTTTTGACTTACTCGAAGACCACACACTGAGCAGGAAAAAGGTTTCTCTCCAGTGTGTGTTCTTGCATGTCTATTCAAGTGTGCCTTACTCGCAAATCTTTTACCACAATCCGAACAGCTGAAAGGTTTCTCGCCAGTGTGGAGCATCATGTGTCTTCTCAGATTTTTTTTCGCAGAGAAGGATTTGTCACACAGAGAGCATTCCCACTGTTTGTCATCAGTTTGACATGTCATATCAGCTTTTGAGTGTTCATCATCAGAGTCAGACATTTTGTTGTCACTGTCTGTTACAGGAGCTAAGAGGCTGTCTGCTTGTGATCCTGCACATTGGTCTCCATCACCTTCCTCTTCATCATCATCATCATCATCATCACCTTCAACCTTCACAATGACACAAGTGAATGGCAACTTGCTGACATCAGCCTCCTCCTCTTCCTCTTTAATGTGAGGGTGCTCTGGTTCAGGATGAAAATCTTCACTGACAACTGCAAGACACAAGAAGACAAACATGTGGTTTGGCAAAGTCACACACTGCTTAGGGAAGTCTAAATGTTGTGACTTTGATGTTGTGTCTTATTGTTTAGACAGACACCACCTAATTTATAGTACAATCATTCGGACATACGGACTGTCATCTTAGCTAAAATGTTTGTTTACAATACTTCAAGCCCTATTCTGTCAAATTCCTGCCGCGCCATCCCCACAACATCAGTTGGGGAACATACTGTAGATTAACTGCATATTTTTAAATTTTAGAGCTGCTAACAAAGGATTATTTTTTAAAAAGCAATTAATCTTTCAATTACTTATTTGATTAATTGATGCATCAGATGAAAAAAAACGTTATATTCAAATTTCCATCCATTTATTATAAAATAACAGGACATTATTTTGAATTCACACTGCAGAAAATGCACAAACATAACGTACATTATGATTCAGTTCATGGTTTGGTCTGTTGCATGTGCAGTGTTCAAGAAAGAGGAGAGGACGCTAGCTACACTGTACACAGGCTGGTCCTACAGTTGGCTGCAGGCTGCAAAGTACGATCTGCGGGTGATGTGTGATCGGCAATGATAGGCAGGCATTGATCGACATATGCCGATCATGTACTTTCCTACAGAAGTCGGCCAATCACGGTTGGTGGCCGACTGTAAATGTTTGTCAGTAATTATTATCAAAGACACAAAGTTAACAGTGGGGAATGGTTAATTTTGTCCTATACGTACGTCACTCTCGGGTGTCCTGTTGACTTAGTTCATAAATGTTGACTTTCGGTACAAGTGAACAAACCTACCTGCCCTGTGTGAGTCATCCTGAGGCTTGTTGAAACCAGCGTCAAGTAGTTGCCGTTGTGGCTTTTTCTCGTCTTTTGTTTCAGAAAGTTCCTTCCCGTATTCCTCTTTCACACTTTTTGCACACATTTTCAGACGACCATCACAATCAATTGATATTCACACTTGATTTCTGCATCTCAACGTGTCACGAACAAACGCGTCTTTTTGTGAGTGACTAGCAGGCTAAGCTAAGGTAACTGGAGAATTCGCTTTAACGTACACCAACGCGTGTTTATCCGGACACGAATATTTAATAAAGGCTGCAGTACTGATGGGACGTCATGTGTCGAGGCTTAAGTACGTTGAGTACAAATTCGGGAAAATTATTTCGTGAAGCGGATTTGGGTGATACACGGAAGTAAAACTGTAAAGGAAGTTATACGGCAACCCCACTTGGACAAATTAAACAGCAGCGTCCCATCAAATGAAGTCACTCTAAAAACAACAAACAAACAAAACAAAAAAAAAGACTCCGTTACCATCAGAGCGCTGATGGTCTATGCTATGAGGTCCTCTTGTGGCCGAAAAATCTTACCAAAATGACGGCTGCAGCAGAAATGCCTTGTGACGCGATGACCTAGTAAGGTCAATATAAGGATCGTAACAAAAATACTTTGCAATAAAGAATCAACTAAAACGGACTTTTTTTGTCAGGAACTCAGCCAAACGTAACAAAATGTGTCAACGTGGCGTGTTAAAAAATGAAAACTAACCACTCTGTTGAGCTTTTACAAAGTCCTTTATTATAATAGCATTTGTTCAATATGCCGGGTCCAAATTTTGGTATGGTTAATTATTATTTCTCAATTAATGTACTTTTCTTTGTACAAATAAACCAAGCATTCATTCAAACTCCTGCACATGGTGAGGATCATGTCATTTGCTGGTGTGGGTCGATTGACTGAACAAATCCACAGTCAACGCAGCTGTCTACCAAGAAATTTTAGAGCACTTAATGTTTACGTCTGCTGGCAAGCTTTTTGGAGACAGTTTTATTTTCCAGAAGGATTTGACACCTGCCCAAAGCCAACACTATCAATACATGTACCAATGGTCAAGAAATAACAGTACTTGATTGTCCAGCAAACTCTCCTGACTTGAAACCTGTTGAAAATGTTTGGGGTATTGTCAAGAGGAAGATGAAAGAACAGAAACCTTGATATGAAGACTATTCTGAATGCTAGTAAAGCAACTTGGATTCTGATAACACTGTCAAAGGCTGACCGCCTCCATGCCATGCCACCTCGATGCTGTCATTTATGCAAAAGGAGGACCAACAAAGTACTGACGGCATAGTACTTGAATATACTTGACAGAAGGCCAATATTTCTGTGTTTAAAATGCTTTCTTGTTTGTCACATGAAAAAAATTCTCATTGTGTCTTTCTGCCATAATCATCAAAATCGTAACAAATAAAGGCTTGAAATATTTCACTTTGTGTGTGGTGAACTAATACAACATACAAATTTCACTTTTTGAAATAAATTATTCAAACAAACTGACTTTCCTCGTGCTATTCAAAAATTTTTGGCACACCGAATTGGTGTAAAGTGGGCCTGACCAGTAAAGTTGGAACACAAAAAATATAACGAACAAAAAGGTGGTGTTTTCCTCCACTGTTATACTGCAAAGCAATCCTGAGCAAAATCGTTACATTTTGATCAACTATTCTTTCGCAAATAATAAAGAACAACATCAGACTTCTCCATTTTTTGATTGACTTGAATGAAGCAAACATGCATGTTTTGGGAATGTGGAAGGATTTCGGAAACAATACGGTCTCCAAACTGACAAATTCCGGACCAACTCTCATACTTATCTGCACACCGTTCACTTCCTGGTTCTCCACCAGTCATCTGCCTCTTGGGCATTTATTTCATAACATTTCTTAGTTATGAGTGGTGATGTTGTTCCAAAGTCTCTTCAAAGTCCCGCAACTTTATTTCCCTCCAGCACACCTGTGTTTTTTTAGCTTCTCCTTCTGAGAGAATAGCTTCTCACACAGGCTGCAACTGAACACTTTTTCCCCAGTGTGAGTTCTCATGTGCCTAACCAATGTTGAGCGGTCAGAAAAACTTTTGTTGCATACGGAGCAGGCAAAAGGTCTCTCTCCAGTGTGTGTTCTCATGTGATTTGTTAAACTACTCTTTTGAGTTACTCTCAAACCACACACTGAGCAGACAAAAGGTTTCTCTCCAGTGTGTGTTCTCATGTGTGTTCTCATATTTGACCTGAACGAGAAGCATTGGCCACACACAGAACATGTAAACGGTTTCTCACCCGTGTGTGTTCTCTTGTGTTGAACCAGTGCTGAATGATCACGAAAACTCTTGTTGCAGACTAAACACAAAATGGGGTTTTTCTCCACTGTGTGTCCATGTGTGTGTTACCAACTTTACCTTTTGAGAGAATGTTGTATTGCAAAACGAGCAAGAAAAATGTTTCTCTTCTCTGTGCTTTCTCATGTCCGCTCAAGTGTACTTGGTACAAAAAGTTTTGTCGCACTCAAGACATCTTAAGTGGATATTTTCCGTGGGACATGTTATATCACCTTTAAAGTGCCTATCAGCAGTGCCATACTATATGCCGGGTCCAAATTTTGGTATGGTTAATTATTATTTCTCAATTAATGTACTTTTCTTTGTACAAATAAACCAAGCATTCATTCAAACTCCTGCACATGGTGAGGATCATGTCATTTGCTGGTGTGGGTCGATTGACTGAACAAATCCACAGTCAACGCAGCTGTCTACCAAGAAATTTTAGAGCACTTAATGTTTACGTCTGCTGGCAAGCTTTTTGGAGACAGTTTTATTTTCCAGAAGGATTTGACACCTGCCCAAAGCCAACACTATCAATACATGTACCAATGGTCAAGAAATAACAGTACTTGATTGTCCAGCAAACTCTCCTGACTTGAAACCTGTTGAAAATGTTTGGGGTATTGTCAAGAGGAAGATGAAAGAACAGAAACCTTGATATGAAGACTATTCTGAATGCTAGTAAAGCAACTTGGATTCTGATAACACTGTCAAAGGCTGACCGCCTCCATGCCATGCCACCTCGATGCTGTCATTTATGCAAAAGGAGGACCAACAAAGTACTGACGGCATAGTACTTGAATATACTTGACAGAAGGCCAATATTTCTGTGTTTAAAATGCTTTCTTGTTTGTCACATGAAAAAAATTCTCATTGTGTCTTTCTGCCATAATCATCAAAATCGTAACAAATAAAGGCTTGAAATATTTCACTTTGTGTGTGGTGAACTAATACAACATACAAATTTCACTTTTTGAAATAAATTATTCAAACAAACTGACTTTCCTCGTGCTATTCAAAAATTTTTGGCACACCGAATTGGTGTAAAGTGGGCCTGACCAGTAAAGTTGGAACACAAAAAATATAACGAACAAAAAGGTGGTGTTTTCCTCCACTGTTATACTGCAAAGCAATCCTGAGCAAACTCGTTACATTTTGATCAACTATTCTTTCGCAAATAATAAAGAACAACATCAGACTTCTCCATTTTTTGATTGACTTGAATGAAGCAAACATGCATGTTTTGGGAATGTGGAAGGATTTCGGAAACAATACGGTCTCCAAACTGACAAATTCCGGACCAACTCTCATACTTATCTGCACACCGTTCACTTCCTGGTTCTCCACCAGTCATCTGCCTCTTGGGCATTTATTTCATAACATTTCTTAGTTATGAGTGGTGATGTTGTTCCAAAGTCTCTTCAAAGTCCCGCAACTTTATTTCCCTCCAGCACACCTGTGTTTTTTTAGCTTCTCCTTCTGAGAGAATAGCTTCTCACACACGCTGCAACTGAACACTTTTTCCCCAGTGTGAGTTCTCATGTGCCTAACCAATGTTGAGCGGTCAGAAAAACTTTTGTTGCATACGGAGCAGGCAAAAGGTCTCTCTCCAGTGTGTGTTCTCATGTGATTTGTTAAACTACTCTTTTGAGTTACTCTCAAACCACACACTGAGCAGACAAAAGGTTTCTCTCCAGTGTGTGTTCTCATGTGTGTTCTCATATTTGACCTGAACGAGAAGCATTGGCCACACACAGAACATGTAAACGGTTTCTCACCCGTGTGTGTTCTCTTGTGTTGAACCAGTGCTGAATGATCACGAAAACTCTTGTTGCAGACTAAACACAAAATGGGGTTTTTCTCCACTGTGTGTCCATGTGTGTGTTACCAACTTTACCTTTTGAGAGAATGTTGTATTGCAAAACGAGCAAGAAAAATGTTTCTCTTCTCTGTGCTTTCTCATGTCCGCTCAAGTGTACTTGGTACAAAAAGTTTTGTCGCACTCAAGACATCTTAAGTGGATATTTTCCGTGGGACATGTTATATCACCTTTAAAGTGCCTATCAGCAGTGCCATACTTTGTGTGACCACTATCGGATAATGAAGTTAAGCATCTGTTTGCTGTTAATGCTCCACAGTGGTTTCCATCACCTTCTGTTGTCATGCGTTGCCTTGAGCTGCTAATTGCTGTGATCTCTTCATTTTGACTGGAATGTAGCTGTGACTTCAAACCTTTGTCATCATCCCCCTCGGTCTTCAAAATGACACTTATCACAGGGAAGCCCTGAAGGTGATCTTCCTCCTGCCATCCCCGCCCATCCTCCTAGTTATCTTTCACCCGGGAGCTCTGCTCCGACTGCTCAGGATGAAAATCTTCTTTGCTAACATCTGGAGGACACAAGATGACAACCACACGTTTTGCCATTTTTTTTTGTCATATAAAAAAAAATGAGACCAAGATAAATAAGTTAAAACTTTTCACACTATTAATACAACTATAACATGTAAAAATAAATTTGTAAAACATGTAAAAATCAATCAGTGTGGCAGATCTTGATGTGGCCAACTCCTCTTTGAAAATATGGTCCAAATCTACTAAATTACAAGGGCACCTTCTGCGCAGCCATCTTCACACACACACACAACACCTGAGCAAGATTGTATATTCAGACTTGTGACTTGCTTAATCCATTGACTTGACTCGCTTAACGTCCTTGACTTTTTTATACAGAACTTCGGACTTGACCGATAAAGTTTAAAGTTTGAGGTCTATTTATCGAATTGGATGCACTTATTGAATAAAACGTAATCCCATTTTTGCTTGTAAAACATATTTGTAAAACTGAAAGAAACATATTAGATTGAAAGTGCACAAATTTGGTATGTGTAACTCATTTTGAGACTCGAAAAAAGCGTCCAACAGTTGAGGTTGTCTTTTGTTTTCCTCTTTTGTTTGACAAAGTTCCATCTCATAATCTGCCATTGTTCTTGTGTTGTCGCATTACTGGTTTAAAAAAAATATTTAATCCAGTTTCCGTGTTAGAATGTT